AACCACAACCGATATTCTGCAGTAACGCTGTCAGAATCTCCATTTTGAAAGTTCCCCCTATGCTGACAAGTCCCAGTTTGCTGTGTGTCTCTGGATAACTGATTTTTACCTACCTGAACTTCATCATCCACTGCCTTAGTGGTAACTCTGACCGTAACTCCTTATGAACCTCTGAAGAAAAGCTACATCTCTTAAATCCTTGGAACAAGAGCACCTTCTGATTTGCCATCTCTCAGGCATTTACAGCATACAGACATTCGCACTACAGTTTCACCAAAAAGCACAACACATTAACACTGCCTGTCCTGACCTAGTCTACAAAGACTACAGTGCTCTGGCAACCCCCTCTCGCTCCCTGGCATCCTCCTCTCAAATCCCTGCAAGTTCTATCAGAGTTCAGCAAAGACAGGAAAAATCCTCTGGGTAAGACATCCTCCCAATTTACCAAGAGGTCATTTGTACTCAGGATTTCCTACATTGTACATGTCTTACATGAAGCTATTGTACATTCTGAATGGTCAAGATAACAGCTTCTTTCACTGAGCAGCCTTCATGGAATATAAAATGCATTTACAGCCTGCTGTTGCTGAGGGTTTTGTGAATACAGGAGCTCAGAGAAGTAACTGAAGTTAAATCTTCAAAGCCCACTTCACACATGAGAGAGGCTTTCAGAGCTCAGAGAACAAGGTCACTGAACAAACTATTTACAGTGAGTAACAAATAGACAGTGAACAAATGCCTTCTTTAACCTGTGTTATTCTTCCACTCAACAAAACCTAGTGTGGCAGGAAAGTCAGCAGAGCCAAAGGCAGAGGTACATGTGGCATCATGGTTAGAACAAGACACAGAGCAATCTCTTGGATCAGTATCTCCCATCACCAAGCCCAAGGCATAAGGCAAATCTCCTAGCCCATACTGCCAAGAAAGATAAATAAAAGCAGTGCTTCTGTGTCACAGGGATGTTGTCAAGTTTGTTGCTATCTAAACCACCAACTTATGAGATGAAGGTTGTCAAAAACAAGCATCCCGTCAGAACACATTCTGTGAGCCACTACATTAATCTGTGACCAAGAGCAACAGCAGAATTCACTCGACTCAGTGGAGAAAAGATTCCCCTTTAGTGCAAACGCAGTTACTCTTTTCCCAGTTTGTATCTGACTGCTTATATGCTATCAACCTCAAAACAGATTTTTTTTTTCTTCAATAAATGGACTGTGCTTTTCAAACACACGTTCAGTGTTTCTGAGCAGAGCCATATATGGTAACAACGTAAGACAAAAAGACACCCTGTGCAACCTTATGCTTCATTCTCCCTGCAATACTAGGTTTAACCTTAATTTTCTGTAGCTATAATCAATGCTAAAGGTGCCTCACAGGCCATGCATTGTTTGAGAATGACAGACATAGGACCACCAGACTAGGTAGTACTGTTGTGTTCCCACTAAATTTAACTCCATTTGCCAGCTACCTGCAGACAAGACAGTATCTTTGTGAAGTCTGGTCAGATTGCAACTCTCTCCTTGGTCCAAGGCTGAAAACGCACACAGTGCATACTTCACACAGTGAAGTATTGATTCCCTGCTAGCTTACCTGACAGTATGTATTAAAACAAGATCTTCACTACTAAAAGCACATACAAACAAGTCACCATGGAGGGTACTAAATTTCAAATTAATACCTCCCTAGTTCCTCTGTCATATCTGTCCACCTATGCACATGCTTTGATCTCAGAGTAAATGAGATTTACTCTGTTTTCATCGAGGAATAAGCTACCTTGGACTACTTCACATTTATCATGGGATAGGATATGCACACACAGAGTTACCCCTGGGTACTGAGTACACTGTAGGTTCACTGCTGAGCTTGTCCCCATGATAATTTCTTCACTTGCCTGTAGCTTGATACATAAGCATGAGCTAGCTTGAGGTTAAAACAAAACAAAACAAAACAAAACAAAACCCCCAAAACAGGGAATACCACTGGACTGTGCATTGAATTAGGTGAGGTCAGCACCGTGTCTGCTAGCTGACTTTAAAAGTTTGCCTTCTGGCATTTTTTTTACTTTTTAATGTGTCTTTTTCACTTTTCTAAAAATCTGGAGATAGCTCATAGGTATTATCCACTTGCTCATACACACACACTATTACTGTGAGCTATGATAAGATTTTAAAATGCATTGGCTATTGCATCTAAAAAAGAAATAACATACTCTCGCTCCCTTCTACTTGACATATACCATTATAAGACTTACAATTCTTTTGTGAAAATTTAAATAGAAAATGCCCATATATAACATGTTATTTATAACCCTTTGTTAAGCCCCTCCCACTGAATCTAATTTATCATGCTACACTCCCTAATATTAAATGCTGTCATTAGGCAGGATCTCACATTGCTTCAGCCTCAGCACATTGACTTACCAAGGAAACTGCAAAATTAAATCCAACTCAAACACTGATTTCAGCACCGATGAAAGAAGCTGCCTCAACTGTGCTGGCCCCTATCCACAGCACGTGCACTGGCGGCGCAGACTTCCTGCTTGGTGCTCAGCCAGTGTGCCTCAGCCTACACCAGCAGGAACCATCTGTAGGGATGAAAGAAGAGTTCAACTTCCAAATTTACTTCCAACCTTGAGAGTAGCCGGACTACTCTCTCCTCCAGAAATCACTAAATAACACAGCATACATAGTTTGCTGAACAGGCAGTCTCTGTTAGGGGCAATCTCTATGTCCATGTGCTGTGGGACAGTAAAAATGTTCTCATTTTTACTACATGTTGTCTTGAACATTATTATCACAGGCAAGATTTAATGGTGGATAATAAGGCAACTCATATGAGAACACTTCTAAGATACTAGCATCCTGGTTGGTCTCACACTGCTCCACAGGTCTCAGTAACAGTAACGGCTATAATTAGCTCTTACGCAGCACTTGTCACCCATGTATCTTAAGAAAAATTATAAAAGGAGACAAGAGCTATCATCCCATTTTAAAGACAGGGAAACTGAGGTATTGAAAGGGAGGTAATGATAAAATGCGAATGCCAGCAGCAAAGTGAGGCATAAAACCAGGTCTCCTGCATCCTAGCCGGGTGCTCCAGGGAACACAGTTGGAAAGCTCCATATCCCATTACCCATATACCGAGTTGCTGAGTTGTCCCAGCAAGGATCTTATTTTTCATTATGGGGTGAAAAATAAAACAAGCCACAGGGCTCTAACTCCTCCTGCAAGCCAGAGACACACAGCCAGAAATTTCTATGGCAAACGACGCAGTGAAAATGCAGCCTGACACAGAGCAAAGTGGCAGCAGCAAGCCAGCCCATCTAGGTGCTGGAGTGGTTGTATCACTCATTATTCAGGGAGAGTGGGGTAGTTGGAAGCGTTACTTCAACTGTAAGAAAACAGGCTGGCTGCTGATTAATCCAAAATGCTGCTGTTGAGATGAGAGACCTCATGGTCACTGGCCTCCAAAAACAAAATGTAAAGGTTCAAAAGTAAGCCACCACAAATAACCACCTTCTAGTTCTCACCAGTGGCCAGTCAGGCCTTGGACACAGGCTCAGTAACATACAGCTGAAGTCTGCTATTTTGTGTGGTCATTCTCAGCAATGTAATATAGCTCCGAAACTCAACTTGTGAATGCTAAGAATTAAAGCAAATAGAGCAACTGAATTTCATACCTTTTTTTTTTGCCAGCATGCGAGACCAAGGCCTTAGCAGTCTCCTTTAGAGAGAAATATCTGTGCTGAACTCAAACATATCTACCTTTCTTATCTCTACACTACCTGTCAGTTCTAAAACTAACGTTCAAAAAGCTCCTCAGCAAGCCAAAAGAAATAAAACAAGCAGCCCTACTACTCTCCAGACAGCAAATGGCACCCAAGAAGATGAGTAAGAGAAATCAGGTGTTTCGGGTTTGTTTTTTTTAAGCAGGATGACAAGACACCACGAAACCATGAAAGAACCAGAGCAGAGTCAGAGCTGTTGGCCCTGGGATCACTGCCAGTTTATTTCAATCAGTTTCAGATGCAGAACCCAGCATTTCAGATGCACACGCAGCCCCAGAGCAACCGGGGAACTGCTCTGGAGATATCTGCTGTCGAACCAAAAGTGGGCTAGGGCCAGTCTTTAGGCACGTCTCCCCCTCCCACATCCCCAGCAACCCCCAGACAGTGCCCCCTGCACCCCCCACCTGCAAAGCACTGCCTGGGTGCTTCACTCGGCCACCCCCAAGTCACAGCCAGCACAGAAAGGAAAATAGGGGGCTGCTCTCCCACATGCCCGGGACCAAACCATCCTTTTAACCAAAAGTGGGCTAGGGCCAGTCTTTAGGCACGTCTCCCCCTCCCACATCCCCAGCAACCCCCAGACAGTGCCCCCTGCACCCCCCACCTGCAAAGCACTGCCTGGGTGCTTCACTCGGCCACCCCCAAGTCACAGCCAGCATAGAAAGGAAAATAGGGGGCTGCTCTCCCACATGCCTGGGACCAAACCAACCTTTTCAGATCGCAGCATAGCACCTTGTCCTGACCGGGGGTTAGCACAGAGAGCCCTCCCCACGGGGCACAACCCCTGCTGCCCAGCCCAGCGCCTGGGGCCTCGCCGTGCCCACCCTGGCACAGAGGGGATGTGCACACCCACCTGGTCCCTCAGAGGCCGAGGGGGCAACTGCAGCAGCTTTAAGGACGGCTGCGCCCCTGCTCGCACCGCGAGGCTCCTCCCGGCGGGGGAGAGGGCCTCAGCCCCCACTGCACACCTTGAGCCC